GTATGCGTAATTGTCTGCACCCCTCATCACTAGAAAGTGTAATTGTTAAAACTACCAACATTTCCAATTGTTACACTAGGCCTGGTGGTACAATAAATAGCGGGTCTTATCCATCGTTCCTCATCAATACCATGTGATATAGAAAACAGGGAATTCTGGAGATACAGGTGAAACTCGAATAATTAGAATATCGTGCAAAGTTCATTTATTTCACTAATGCAACTTAAAAGGTGAAACTAATATATGAGATAGACTCATTACATGCAAAGCAAGATAATTCAAGCCGTGATTTGTCATAATTGTGATGATTATGGCTTACAGCTCATGAAAACCCCAAGAACCCCAAATCCACAACCTCAAAAAAAGTAGATTATTACATGCAATCAATGAAACAAGGATTGTACATAGAACAATATCGGACCTCTGAAAAGTACAAGCATGCATATGTACTCAGTACTTGGTTTGGGCCCCTTTTGCAGCACTTACTGCAATTACTTTTGCACGATATTCTAATTATTCGAGTTTCACCTGTAAGAGGAGATAAAAGGCATCTGTTGTACAACATCCACTTTGGGTTTTTTTTGGAGATTAAGATTATTTTTCCACTGTAGTACATTAAAAGACAATTTACATATAGTTTTTACTTATCTAATATCTTAAAGGTGTATATTTCAGTATTTTATGCCTGATAATAAAGGATACATTTACAAAACTAGATAATAAGAATATGGAACTAGAGTTTTACTCTATTATACATTCAGTTTAGTGGTTCAAACATCCTTTGTAGAGAAAGTATTGCTTTTCCTATTTCCCTCAATATTACACTTTGATAAACTACAGGATTCTGACATTGATCAGAACTAACAAAACAGCATGATAAAGGAAAATGGTCTGGTGTATCAAAGTGTTCTGAATATGAGGACAAAGTGCAGGGAAAGTAGCTTTGGTAATTATCCATCCCGATGCACACGCTATACACAGGACTACTGCCTAAGGCCTGGTTCACACCGGGGCGTTTTGTAGCGCATTCGAAAGCTCTGCAAAACGCTCAAAGAAGTACAGGAGCTTCTTTGGGGCGTTTTTGTCATGCGTTTCCATTGGGATAGAGCCAAGTAGCCCACGGAAACGCGCGTATTCGATACGCCTAGGTGTGAACCCAGCCTAAGCAAAAAGAGCCAGATCACACTGGTGCATTGCACGTGCACGTGAGTTAAAGGAGAACTACGAGGTGAGTGATTTCCACTCATCCTCATGGTTAGAGTCGACTTGTGACACAGAAGCGGTCACAGGTCGGCTCCATCGATCAGGAAGTGAGCAGAAACTTGCCACCGATCTGCTCACTTCCTGATCGCCTGCAGTGAGTGGTGATTGTCAGTCACCGCTCCCCGCAGGGATTCCCCTCTCTGATCCTCTAGCGCAGAGTGGAGGAATGAACATGGTAGGGGGCAGGCAGAGCCAGCTTTCACTCATGCAGCTAGGTGGACCTCGACAGTATTGTCGGGATCTGTCCCGGCTGTGGCGCTCTCAGCATATCGCAGGCAATAGCTCGCTATATACTGAGCTTTGGCTCAGGGGAGGTAGTATATGCCCTCCTGTGACCCTGGAGATAACTGAGGAAAAACACTTACCCCCATAGATCTCTTTTAAGCATGGATCATTGCACATTTGGCATGCATTGCGTTAAGAAGCCCATTCATTTTGAAAGGGCTGCAACACACCTAAAATGGTGCATCACATCCGTAGCAATGCACAGATTGGAGTTGCAGTGCATTGTGGTGCTATACAAAATCAATGGCACCACAACACACCATGCTGCCATACACACATTGCCATGCATTTGCGGTAAATGTACAGTAAAACATGCAGTTAGAGTATGCTATCGCAAAGCACAAGTGTCAACTGGCCTTCACCATTTAGAAATCCAGACACCTCCAGCTGCATAAAAGTCCAAGGGTACTTCATGCCTGCACTTTGCTAGTATATACAGACAAATGTTCCTGCAGGTTCCCTTTAAGTTAATGAAGCAAAGGTTAAGTCAATGTGCACTTCTAACAAAATATTTATGCAGCAAAATAAACTAAATGTAATGCTAAAGAATATGCATTTATTCCTCCAGTACGAGATAGTAGAAAAGGTCTATTGAGAAGCTTCCAGCAAAAACTGGCCTCTAATTTAAAAAAAAATCTAGATTCTACTTTATTAAACAGAAAACTTGATATAAGGAATCCCAGACCGCTGTAATATGGCTAAGTTACTTAGATGATGTATTTAGACTACTATTAAGATATTCACCCAACATTAAGGTAACAAGGGAAATAAAAAAAAGGGGGGGGGGGGGGGGAAACTGCAAATCCAGGAATTAAAGTTTGAAAGCAACTAAACGGTGGCACTGTGCAAATATGAAGTGAACATGCCGTGTCGTTAAAATAATCTTGGCCAACCTAGCTAGGACCAGGTCACATACGTCGTCCAAAAGCGGTGTAGAATATGAGAGGTTATTAAATCTTGAAGCCAAAAATTGGTCAATTTCATTTCTTCAACGATGCTTATGGCACTACTAGAAGACGATTTGGCTGTAGATAACATCCAATGCAGTATTTAACCTATTGTCTAAAGTCATTGTACAAGACCTTCTACAATTTCAGAAACGCCTGATGTCAGTTCTAAAGTGCTACATTATGAAAGAATTCACACTGCCTAATGTACTTTTCAGCTTGAATTACAATAGGTATTTTAAATACCTTCCCATGGCTTTTAGCCTAATGCATGCATAGGGGCCGACACATTCTGTATATTCAGAAAAAAAAAAAAAAAAGGATGAAAAGCAGGTAATTATGGCATTTAAACAAGAACTAAAAATAGGACAGATGTGTTTTTTTTTTTTTTAAATAAATGGATTTATTTGCAAGTAGTGTTGAATACTTGAATTTGTCCTATTAGCCTTCTGTGGTACCTCGCACAGTAGGCACAGAGGGGGTTGGGTCTACACTAGGAAGCAATCGGGCTGTGCGTGTGCACACCAACAGTGAACATGCAGAAAGGAGGGAGCAGAAGGATGACCCCAATACTGTGCTGCTGCTTCATAGGCCAGCGGTATGTTTTCACTATATTGCAGATGAGGCTGTGCTACAAATGCCGTGGACATCAATGACCTGGCTGTACATTCTGGCAGAGTTGTCTAGAATGACTAAACAATACACACACTTTGGCAGGTAAAACCATTTCCACGGAGTCCAGCTTTAACCAGGAATAGACAATTCTGCCATTTATCTTACAAAACTGCAAAATGAATGCCTGGACTACACAAAATATTAAGCACTTTTGGGGAAAAAATACTGAACTCTCAATCTGTAGGCTTTTAGTGTGTAGGGAAATATAGTAATCTCTCTTCTACATAACTAATCATATATCAGGATCACATATTAGATATAGAACCAGAATACACTGCAGCAATAAAGGACGGTGACAAGCAATAGTTGGGTGGCAAACCTTTTCAGTGGAGCTTACAATTGAGATATTTTCAATGCATTTTTAGTAAAAATGTGTGTTCATGCGAGTCTGCCCCTAAAATGGCTGATGGGTTAACTTTATAAAGAAAGGGAAAAGACCAGCACACGATTTCCCAAACCACTGTAGGGTCAACTATTCTCTGCTGTATTAATGGAAACATCTTGGTCATATGGAAGGCGACTGGTGTTCTACATCTAGTAGATCACACTGTATGTCACTACTGTATCGTGGCTGAATAGATGCTCTGCTCCATATGGTGATTGGAGAGGACAATACTTCGTCATTTTCTGATGGAAACATTGAAGTCTTGAAGGAATTTCAAAGCAAAATTTCACTCAACACAGGAGAAAGAGTTAGAACCTGTTAGCTTTTTACTGTTGGATATGTCAGTATTGGGGAGATTTTCACTCATTACCAGTCCCAGAGGCAAAACATGAAGTCAGCAAACCTCCCCAAAGTGGCAAAATATTTGTTTTGACATTTGCTGTCCCTACCTACCCATTCAGTGACAGCTTTCATACAGTGTACTTGGCCTTACTTTGTCACGATTATGGGTAAATTCTACAATGAACACACAAGAGTGCATTTGATTGTTCTTCAGCCCCAAATGACTTGTGGGGTGTTTTCCTATTCTCTTCCTGTCCTAGTTTCTTATGCTACAAAGGAAGCAATGTAAAAACCTGACAGAAGTTCTAACCCTTCCTCCTCTAAATCACAACTAATCATCATGATGTTGCATTTTGAGAGGAATTATCTCTGTGGAGGATCAATGCACTGCATTCTTGGAGGCCGCAACTTTAGCAGAACTCTAAAGCCTACATTTCCTTATATTGCAACTCAATTCCTCAGTATATAATTAATACAATACCGGGGTTCTAAATATGGGTTTTTAAAACACTTGCACAGCGAGAAAGTGGCCTGCACCAAACACACAAACACATACTGGTAGAAGTGCAAGTTGGCCTTTCACTTGCATACATCACCAGCTTATGGCTTAAACATGTTATAATAGAAGCCTCTGCTGGTAGGCCAACAGCACAAAGAAATGCAGCCTACTCTCATGTAACTACAAAAGATCAAAATGGTTCTTACAATCAAATGGAGGCCTACAGGTCAGTTTATAAATTCAACCAGAATTGGCAATATTGTAACAGCTATATTACATTCTGTAAACATAAGTATAACACTTGCAGGTCTGAAAAGGCAATATTTACAGTTTTTGGTTAAATAATCTATTTCAGCTTTCAATATATTCTTATTCTGAGGTGTGGAGATACCACAGGTCTCTAAATAACCACAACATTGATACTTTGTATTTATAGAACTGTCTCATAATAACTGAAGTATTCACTTTATAAACAGAGTAGGGCAATGTGGGAAACTCCTTAAGTTTTCAGAACTACAAAGCTCAGCATGCCCTGCCTAAACAGCAGTGATTGAACCAAGCTGCTTACCTCTGCCTTAAGGGCACAAGCTCATATGCAGATTTCAGTCTGTAGTAAAAAAAAACAAAAAAAAACCTGAAATGATACGATGCAATAGGAAAAGAGACATAGGTACAATAAGGCAATAAGCTAGAGGTAAAGCAGCACTTATGCATGTCCCTAACTGTAACTATATACATGAATGAGTGTATATAGAATAATAATGCCGTCAGTGGGAAGTGCTTACAGCATAATGAACTGCCTAACACTTGCACTATACGGGCAAAATGAAGTGCAACACAGAAAGCTTCCCTTAACGTAAAAAATAAGTGTGCAAATCTTGATTTTCTTTATACATGTAAAAAATACAGAAGCTATTAGGATACTATACTGCTATACAAAAAAACAACACCCATTTTGTGTTTTTAAAACACAGTAGTATACCTTTTCTTTCCACAAACCATCTAAAAAGGCACTAAGGGTAGGAATGACCAGTAACAAAATATTATGAAATGAAGCAGGAGCACATTATCTTCAATCCGGTCGAAATATTGGGTACTTTGGTAAGAATTCTATAAGTATAACCTACAAAAAAAGAAAAAAAAACATGCAATATGAAAAGGAGTTAAAGGCTCAGTAGACCTATAAGAATGCGTTAAAAACAACTATTTCACACAGATCCTCCCCTCTACTTTTTTTTATCATATGAGCTGCATATCAACATTAGCTTCACATGAACACCAAGGCAGCCATTGGATTCTATCTTCAAGCACGAGGCTCCATTACATTTGCTAAAACCATAATTTGCCCTAATTTCTCCGCACCTTCTCACAAATGTAATACAAATGTGAGAGAAGCACACAGAGTAAGCGTTATGGCTCTTTACAATATAAAATTAACAGCCATTTAATGGGGTAAATTATTAATGGCTGCAAAACAAGTTTCTAAATTCTACAGTGTATTCATACTGATGCTGGCCACAATGCCTTGTAGTAGCTAACCTAGTACAAACATGCAGTCAGGACAGTCTGCAAAAAAAAAAAAAATCTGTCCTGCATATTCCGACCTGTTCCTGGCGCAAGCACTTTTAGGCGCCTTGCACATGAGCGTGTCAGGAGAGGATCCGTCAACAGATCCTCTCCTGATCACAGCAGTACGGCGCTGATGTCACCGCTGCGCCATCCGTGTCTATACATTTTTTTTGCAATGGAGGGAAAAAAAAAACCTGTAACTGTCGCACCCCATGTGTCTCTATGCTGATGCTCACATCAGGTGCACTGCTAGCAAACATCAGGCAGCTCAAGAAAGCTACATTTAAATAGCCCAACAGCAATTCAAATCAAGCTTAAAAAAATTGCCTAAACCACTTTAAATTTTCTGTTTCGGAACGAGGTTTTAAAAAGAACTATGGGAAGAGTGAAATGCAGTTATCCCCCTGGAGAGGCAGAGCCAGCTGTCAAATCAGACAGTGGGTGGATCGATTCCAACAATATAGTCGGGCTCTTTTCCAGCTGCAGAGCAGCTCTGCGCTGTCAACATATAGCAGGCAATAGCCCGCTATATGCTGAGTTTTGAGTCACAGGAGGGCATTCGTAAATGTCCTCCTGTGACCCTAAAGAGAACTATGACCAAAAAAGATTTGGCCATAGTACTGTTAAGACTTCAAATATTTCTTTGCGTTTCTAAAAGCAATGAAATAAAATGCAGTTAAAAATTAGCCACTCTGGCAACCTTGGGGTAATGAGTGAGCAGCACAAGGTTTACTGCAGTTTACACCCATGTGTCTTTAACCACCTGCTGCCCGGCCGTTGTAATTAAACAGCCGGACAGCGGCTTCTTGAGAGCGGGTGGGCGTTTTTAAACGTCCCATGCCGCTTGTGCCCGCAGCTATGCCGCGGGCACGAGCGGGAATTCAGCCTGCACTGTAAACAGCCAGCGATGGCTGTTTACATACAAGCGTTCGGGCGTCTGTAGAGACGCCTGATCGCTTGTAATAAGCGTGCAGGTGTGCACCCCCCTCCGCCGCTGCTGGCGATCCCGGGCTCCGCTGTGCCTGGTGCGAGCCCGGGACCAACACAGCAGCTCTGCGGCCGGAGATCAAACGGAGCTCAGTACACAAGCTCCGTTTGATCACCTCCTCCTCTTCTGAATGCAGGCAGTGATGTGTATTACATCACTGCCTGCATTCATTGTCACTCTCTGGCTTCTGTAGCTGGATAGAAGCTGGTGAAGCAGATCTCTGCTTCATCAGCTTCTCTGGTCCCTCTGTGACATTAGGGGTCTTAAAGACCCCCTGATGTCTCCATAAAGAGGACCCGTCACTGAAAATTGCTATCACAAAGTGGGATTGTTAGTCCCCTATGTGATAGCAATAAAGTTAAGTGAATTTAAAAAAAAAAGAATTAGTTACAAAAAAATATATAAAAAATTTACAAAAAGTCACATATAAAAAGGTAATAAAAAAAATGTAAATTTTTTTTATGTCCCCCTGCCCCACATAAACATGCAAACAAGCGTCGAGTGCGCCTAAGTGCGTAAACGATGATTGCATCCATTACGCCGCACATGTTACATATCGCCGCGAACGTCGCAGTGAGAGCAATCATTTTAGGGCCATCAATCACTGATAACACTAAACTGATGAGCGATCAAAGCTTTTAAAGCGCCGCCTATGGCCAATTTTGGGTATGGTAGTTTTTGCGATTTCGCGGACGCACGCAATTTTAAAGCTTAACATGTTTGGTGTCTATTTACCCGACTTGACCCCGACTTTTATATTTTGCCAAAAATTTGGGTAATAACTGTTTTATAACATAAAGGTAGGGAAAAGTTTTTTTTTTTTCTCCAAATTTTTGGTACTTTTGTCATTATATAGTAAAAAATAAAAACCCCAGTGGTGATTAAATACCACCAAAAGAAAGCTCTCTCTGTCCCCCCAAAAAAATGGTATAAAATCCATTTCAGTACAGCATTGTGTGATGCAATAAATGTCAAAGTACCGCAGCACTGAAGACTGAAAAACGGCCTAGACAGGAAGGGGGTCTAAACACCCCTGCCAGCAAGTGGTTAAATACATCTCTCTATATGACGAAACCGGATACTCACGTATTCCATCATATTGTTTGATTCACATTTCCGTCTGCTTAGTTTCCAATGCAAGCCGAGCTAAGGAACAATTTTTACAATGTTAATAATAATAAAACAAATTAAAAAAAATAAGGTATTTGTATGCAACAATTTTCTAATGACCATTTACCTACCTTGTGATATAATCTGTTATTCTCCCAGTCCAAAAGTTTGTAAATGGATCTCCTTGTCTAACAAAAGAGAATATGATGAGGTGAACTAATACACATTATAATTCAGAAGGAAAAATAAAATCTATACAGTATAGTGAAAGACAAGTCATATCTTGAAGCCCAACTCAGCATGTTCTCAAAAGGAGCTACATTAGCAGAACCCCCAGTATGCCAATAGCTGTCTACATAGACTTGGTTGTGGAATTCACATACTTAGTGGATTGGGTTTGTGACAATGGTATAATGATAATCAGCATGGATTTAGGAAGACCAACCGACTTAACATTCTACGAAGAGACGAGTAGAGATCTGGATGGACGGAGGCCGTTGGATGTGGTATATCTGGATTTTGCCAAAGCTTTTTGACACGGTACCACATAAACGCTTAGTACACAAGCTAAGGTCTATGGGCATAGATGGAATGGTGTGTACATGGATAGAGAACTGGCTACAGGAACATGTCCAGAGAGTATCAATAAATGGCTCTTTTTCAGATTGGTCTATGGTTGAGAGTGGAGTGCCCCAGGGTTCTCTGCTAGGTCCCATGCTATTCAACCTGTTTATTAACGATATCGGGGAGGGATTGAATAGCCATGTTTCCGTGTTTGCAGATGATACTAAAATTGGGAGGGTAATAGACACGGACTTAGACATTATAACATTACAGGGGGACCTGGATAAATGAGGGGAGTGGGCAACTACAGTATATGGCAGATGAGGTTTAATGTTGAAACATTTAAAGTAATGCACTTTGGGGTTACAAATAGGCAAGCAGAATACACATTAATGAGGGACTCCACTTGGGAAGTCAGAAATGGAAAAAGATTTGAGGGGGTCACAGTAAACCACATTGAATATGCCATGCTGCGGCAAACAAAGCGAGCGTCTTGTATTAAAAAGGGAATGTACTGTAGAGACAAAGCAATGCTTAGACCACTTTATAGATCTCTGGTTCGGCCTCATCTGGAGTATGCGGTCCAGTTTTGGTCACCAATCCTCAGAAAGGATGTCCTGGAACTTTAAGAAAGTCCAGAGAAAGGCAACTAAACTCATTAAGGTGCTGGAGGACCTAAGCTATGAGACAAGGTTACTAAATCTAAACTTGTTCACGCTGGAAGTGAGATTAAGGGGGGGGATATGATTTTGACGTACAAAATATTTAGTGGTGATATCAGCAATAAACTTTTTACAGTAAACGCCATAACAAGGACTAGAGGCCACCACCTAAAATTGGTGGTGAAAAGGATTTAACCACAAGGGACGTAGGGGCTTTTTTTTCCAGTTAGAGCGGTTAAAGTCTGGAACTCACTGACACAAGAAGTGGTATCAACGGAGAGTATTGAATCATTAAAAAAATCAACTGGATACCTTCCTCAGAAACTTTAACATACAGGGGTACAGGTACTCTCAGAAACAAGGTCACACAGGGACTCGTGGACACACATACGCAATCACACACAGACACACAAAGGTTGAACTTGATGGACCTGTGTCTTTATTCAAACTCAAATACTAATGTAACTTATTTGTGTAGTATTTATTTTAAAAAAGGAGAAAAAAAAATAAAAAATCAGATTTACCAAATTGCCAGATCAGATAATTTATAACTTGGGAAGAAAAAAAAGGGGAGAGCTCATAGTGACCAGTTTAATCTAATGTAAAACAAAAGGCATTACTATTAGGGATGCACCGACACCGGTTTTTCGGTATCGAGTACCGATGTTTTTTTCCAGGACTTGCCAATACTGATGCCGTGGCCCCAAACATCAGGAAGCCGGCGTTTTTTCGATGGAACACCGGCTTCACTTCCGCAAGGCTGCCTGACCAATCGTGAAGCCGTGCAGCGGGTCATGAGGTGCTGCCCGGCTTCCTGATTGCCAAGGAAGCCGGGCTTTACTCGTTGCTAGGCAGCCCGGCTTCCTGACCAATCAATCCAATTGCAAAGAAAGCCAGCTCCATGCTGCCTCGGCACTAGGGAGATCTCCCTGTGACAGGAAGTTCCAGTATCAGAAGTATCTGAGCATTTGGGCGAGTGCGAGTACTCGCCCAAATACTTGGTATCGGTGCATCCCTAGTTAATATATGCAACAGTTGCATAACATAGCCTGCAATCATCTGACAGACTGTGGAAGTGATCGGATCGACTGTCAGCTTTACACACGAGCAGGAGACGGATTACAGGGCCCCATCTGAAAGCATTTCCTATTGTGACTGGATTTCCCTCATGCAAAGGATGAAGGAAGAAGAAAGATTTGTTTAAATCGGAAAATCCAATTAAACTAGGTATGCTCCAGTGATGTGAATTCAATATCTATTTGTATAGAATGGCGGGTCAAATTGTTAGCATCTCCATTCTGTGTATTTCCTGAAATTATGATTGAGGTACGTACATTGACCATACATGTCATTAGAAACATGTTAGTGAAAATGGCGTTTAATTTTTAACAACACAGAATGACTGCTGTGGTTTGAACTTAATATGAAAACAAGAGGGCAATATTCTACCTTTAGATACGTGGAGGGGAATCAAAACTGGAGCAGACAGATTGCCCATGGCAACAAATCAGCTTCTCTCTTTCATTTTCAAAGCTTAACTGAGCAAAAGGAAGAGAGAAGCTAATTGGCTGCCATGGGCAACTGATACTGGGGGCAATTTATCAAAACTCGAGCAGGCAGCCAGATTCTGCCTGCTCGAGTTTTGATAAATTGCCCCCAGTATGCATTCCCTTATTTTCTGTAGGGAATGCATATTATAGAGCCAGGAAGTCAGAAAGCTTTCATATAAAATGTAAAAATGTTTTTTGTAGTCTGAGTTAATTGTAACACGCACACTGCAAAGGCCAACAAAAATGCACACTATACATAAGAAACCATCATCCACAAACATGCAGGTTAGGTTTTATTTCTCACTGCAGCGAGTGACTGTACAGGCATGAACGTCCATTTCTTCACACTGCTCAGATTGGGATTACTTACCCTTTTATTCAGGCATATAACAGGCCACAAACTGAAGCCTAATGTACAACAGCAGCAGATACAGCCACATAGCAGCCATTTCACATTGAGAGGGAGATTCTTTCTTAAGCAGGTATTTACACGACCAATACTGATTTTAAACTCCTGTGGAGCAACCTGGAAGGATAAAGCACATGTTAAGATATAGCTCTGCCAAGTGTTTTTATACAGAAAATAGAACAGATTCATCCATCGATGCTTACAAGTGTTGATCGAGGAATCTCCTACTGTTTTCCTTTGTATTCTGGACAGTAGCCGCCAGCAGAATACCCAAACAGATCGGCCACTAATTTTCTGACATGCTCCTTCAATTGGCTTGATTGAGGGATACCAATCAAAAAGGTGCGGACAGTGGCACCCACGCTTTGCATTTGGTCTTATTGTGGTCACTTCCCTGACACCGCTATACTCTACCTGAACAAAATGTGTTGGATGAACAAATACCCCTTCACATACACAAACCAGACAACAGAAGTGAGAGGCCACGTTCTTCAGGATACTAAAACCATTCATATTTTCTGCGTGAAGGAATGGTCTAAGCTTTATAAAACACATGTATGTTAAATTCTTTCCAATTTAAAACAAGCTCTTCCCCAGCCACTGCTAGATGTAGGCCGTCTTTACACAATCACTCATCGGTGGACCTGCACTCACATGTTGTCTGCAGAAACCTCCATTCATCAGAGCAATGGCTGCCAAAACCTGAGCTGAACAGAGGGTGTAAAGCTGGCCATACACCTATAGATTATCTGCAGATTTTCTAATGTCAGATGGAAAAAGTACAACAGACTTCTCCATCTACGCTAAGCTGTGTGGATGGCGGAATCTCCCACTGAGCCAAGCTTCAGTATCTTGCTAGTCGGCCCAGCTGGCTCTCAAAATACCTGAACATTGCCTGCATCCAATCAGATTGTTCAGATACTTTGACAGCCAGCAGGGCTGACTAGCAAGATAGTGAAGCTTGGCCTAGTGGGAGATTCCTCCATCCACACAGCTTAGCGTAGATAGAGAAATCTGTTGTACTTTTTCCATATGAACAAAGAAATCCTGCAGATAATCAATAAGTGTATGGCCAGCTTAGAGATCTCAGATCATCCACGTAATGGCACCCGTGCTTACAGGACATTGGAAACATTTGATAGGCAAATGTATCTAATTTATAGAAAACTAACTTAACTTCTAAATGGACTGGTAGAGTCTACTTTACTTGCTTACGGGATTGCTTTCTCATCCTTTTTCCCTAAAACAGATAAGACCCTTAATATGTGTTGTACTTTACTACAATGTAAAGACATTATTTTCCTTAGGCATCTCTTTTTCTCTCAAAAAGTAAAAAGGGTCATAATATTTTACGACAGGATGCAATGAGGGCAACAAACAGAAAAACTAAGCAAAGCCCAGCAGGCAAGATCTGGATTGTTAAAAAGTCAAACAAAACCACAACCACCCTATCAATCACCTTTCATCTCCACTAACAATACAGGAGAAATTTTATGACTTGCACCTTTGAACTGCAGGCTTATCTCACCATTGGACATCTACTGTTCAGTGTAGTTGGCAGGAAACTATGGTGTCTTCCCTAAAGGTTTATCTACTAACTTGTAGTCACCTGGATCATGTTAGGGCAAGTTGGACCATAAATCTTCAGGAAGCCCAATTATTTGTTGGCTATAAATAGGACAGCATTTAAAGTGCCACATTAATAAAAAGGTATAAAAAGAAAATCTTCAGTGTGAATTAAAAAATACAAAAAATTTCCCATTTTGAGCAATGGTAACTTAAAAAAACAATACGTACTCCACATCCAACATAGAAATATGTTATCTTGTCAATTATGCTGCTTAGGACAACAATTGTGTCACAAGTAGAATGGCTAATTGAAAGTATTTTTAGAATTCTTCATTTTCTAAAAACTGCAAAACAAAAACACAATTCTATTGTGCTAATCATTAAAATAAGAAGGATAAATATACTCATTGGGAAGGATATGCTGCATTTAAAATGTTTTTTTTTAAAAGCCATTTTAACAACCTGCCCCCAACCCACACACATTACCAAGGCTTGGAGCCCTGTACATGTTGACCTGTTTCTTCTATCATCAATATACTTTCTGCGTTTATTGTACTTGTAACGGTTTCCCATGTAAGAGAGAGAAAAATGCCTCGAGTCAGTGTAAAAGAGGCTCACACTTGTAGAACAGGCCATGGCCTACACACAAAATTAAAACTGCTTTTACCCAAACACTGTTTTGATGGTTCTTTAGTTTCTCATATCAAACCTAGATCTTGAAAATCTGTGGCTTTGGCTCAGGAAAATATACAGGACATCCCCTATGTATAATCTAAAACATGCCTAAACATGCATAATGCGAATTTTGGCCGGTTCATCAGGAACATGTTGAAATTTGCACAGTGGATACTGTCGGCACCCTTTCGGCCAGCATTCCTTGATCAGCTGATCGAAGGAGTCGGTTGGAAAATCTTTGAATGAACAGAGCCAGCAGCCAATGAGCTGCCAGCTCCGTTTGGGTATTCTGACATCAACTAAGCGGTGGAGAAATCTGTTCTATTTGTTTCATTCAACCTGAGGGCTGAACAAAAAATAGAACAGTAGGGCCAGCTTTAGAGTCAGGAGAACTATGGGGTTAAGGCTTTCCCCCATAGTTCTCCTTAGGGTAACGGGAGGACACAAACTAGCGTCCTCCCGTCACCCAAGGATCAGCATACCGCGAGCTGTAGCTTGTGGTATACTGAGACGCCGCAGCTGAAGCGGATCCCGACAATTGTGCCGGGATCCGCCCAGCTGCGTGACTGACAGCTGGCTCTGCCTATCTAAAGGCAGAGCCAGCTGTACCCGCCCCCTCCCCAAAAGTTCCGCCAGTCAGCGCTGGCGGATCGGAGCGTGGAGAATCCAGCCCCTCCCTTGTCACGGCAGAGAGCTGTGACAGGATCGAGAGGTGAGCAAACGCCGGTATGTGTTCGCTCACCTCCCGATCTACTGAGCCGACCTGTGAGTCTCATTGTCACAGGTTGGCTAGAACTATGAGGCGAGTGAAAAGCACTCACCTCATAGTTCTCCTTTAGGTCTCGTTCACACCTAGGCGTATTGCATATGCGCGTCTGTCGCGCGTTTTTTACCGCGTATCGCGGGAAAAAAGTTGCGCGACCGTCGCGCGTTTCCGAAGGCTACTTGGCTGTATCCCAATGGAAATGCGCAACAAAACGGCCCAAAGTAGTACCTGTACCTTTTCAGGCGTGGGCCGTTTTGTAGTGCATTAGGGACGGGCGGAAATACGCCAAGGTGGGAACGAGACCATTGAATACAATGGGATTTATATTTTTGAGCGTTTTGTAGAGCGTTCGTCGAGCGTAGAACGCGCTACAAAACGTTCAGGTGTGAACGAGGGCTTAAAGTTCCACCAACTGCCATTCCTTTGTCCAAGAAAAGCAAACTTGGATGACCTTTTCTGGACGCAAACCAATAACTTGAGGATAATTGTTGTGCCTTGTTTCTGGTTATAAAAATGTTTTTAAAAAAACTAACTCAAAGGCATACCTAGCCCTAAGGCCCCATTCACACCTATGCGTATTGTAATATGCGCGTCTGTCGCGCGTTTTTTAACCGCGATTCGCGGTAAAAAAGTTGCGCGACCGTCGCGCGATTCCAAAGGCTACTTGCCAGTATACAAATGGAAAACGCCCTACAAAACTGACCAATACGCAGCAAAAAACGCTCCGGGACCTTTTCATGCGTTCGGGACGGGTGGAAATACGGACAGGTGGGAACGATACCATTGACTACAATGCTATTTATTTTTTTGACCGTTTTGTAGAGCGTTCATCGAGCGTAGGACGCGCTACAAAACGGTCAGGTGTGAATGGGGCCTGAAGCCAGGAAACTCAGGGTACAAATAAAGTAAACCATGTTTAAGAGTCTGTGAAGGTTCTCATTCACCCAGGTCATGGCAGACGTGTAAATAAATAAAATCAAGGCAACTGGGCTTGCTGTCTTTTTCTTGAAAAAGCTGGTTGGATGACCAGTGAAACGACTTCAAGGAAAATACAGCAAGTCCAGTTGCCTTGATTTATTTTTTACAGATATACATGTTTGAGGGCAAAGGAAGAGGGTTTGCTAGTTATTAAGGGAACAGCAGACATCTTGTAATGCCTACTTTAAAGTGGGCTTATTTTCATACTATCATTGTGACCACCTCCCTTCATGTTCTCACCAATGGTTCTGAAACTAGCATGCTTACCTTTCCTGTCAAAACAGAAGGGAATTCGGCATCAAATTTGTTGCTTAAACCAAACCTGAAAGAAGGAAAAATACACATTAAATTTACATCAATTATTAAACATAGTGAATGTACTAATATACTTTACCTATGAGACAAATAGCAATCATATTTTAGATTCTATAAAAATGTAAGACTGTCCGCAGCTTGTGTACACATGCATAGCCCCCGTTTTTTTTTGTCAGACCATTGCTGGCACTGCTCCATAAACATAGTAAGGGGAGTTGTTAGCCCGGCCTGTAAAGTACAGGACTGGGCTGCAAGACAATGTGCTTTCTGTATATTACACACACACAGCCTTTATCAAATAAACATTTGTCGGATTAAAATAAATAGGATGCCGCAAGGCAATGTGTGTTAAAGCACAACATAAGTGTGATCCCAGCCCTAACGCATGACATTGGATTCCCAGAGCCCCATGCCGACAGAACCAAAGACAGGAGATGAGAAGGGGATGAGTCTCTGCTTCTGTGGGTGTACATTCAGCTCAAGCTGCAGAACTTCCTAACTATGCCTTTCATCTAGGGCTGCAACAACTAATCGACATAATCGATTATTGAAAAAGTTGTCAACTTTTTCAATAATCGATTAATCGGCTTCTGATCAGTTGGCCCTGTTCACAGCTCCACACGCTGTGCACCGCACCAGTGGATATGAAGGAATTAAAAACCATCAAAAAGGAGTCCAAAGCACCAACTACTGGCCAAAAAGGTGAACGCAAAATCATATGCAATATTTCATATTCCTTTAGTCCTAAGCATAAGAAAATGTACTTTAAAACAGAATGTATTGTGCGGATACATTCATAATACACCCAAGTTTACTGTTTTAGCTGCCAAAGCCAATACGGAAATGTACACACCTATACCAATGTATGATGCAAAAAATACTTCAGTTAAAGTGGGCCTTGCAGAACAATGCACAGTCTGCATATAATATCTGGGACTCTCCTCCTTTAAAGATCACCTAATAGACCTAATAACTCAATATATATATAAGGAATATTTATATTCCCATTACCCCGCCTTCCAAGCTGCAAAGTGTCAGGTCACCCCCCTTCTAGAAAGATTTCTGGTGAATGCAGAGCAGGTGAAACCTTAGGAGAAGGCCGTCCAGTCCACTATGGGAGTGTCTTTGCACGATAGTTTGGCGCCTCTGTATTCCTCATGTCACATTAATGTGGGGTCAGGAAGGGGACCTCATCTCAGGTATAGGCAGGTACTTCACCACTTTTATAATGAGCTCAGTCAGTGGTAGGATGGGGACTAGATTGCACTTGAGGTTTGCTTCAACGTCACAATTACTATCACAGTAACATTAAATGGCTGCAATTCAATAAACATTTCAGGGCTGGACCTGTGACATTTTATCACCTTCCCAGTGCAGCTCAGCAGAAAGAGATCCTACTCTTATGGTATGGTTTATTTCTACTCCATTTTGGGTTTCTGTCCTATTTTACCTTTACCCCCTTTAAATAAAAAACACATCACCATGCATCTCTGCACGCCGATTTAAAATCATCTTCTATTCATTAAACACACTTGTTTTTCATTTCCTTACAATTAGAGTTCATCTACTTCCTGGTCCACTCCGGGCACACATGATGTAATGTGCCAAAGCAATGCATTATGGGAAGGTGACAGAAGAGCATTGCTGGGAAATCTCATGAGATCTCAGGGAAAGGCATTTCCCTCCCCTGAGGGAATGTGACCATGCACATGTGCCAGAGTTCCAGCAAGAAAAGGGAGAGCTAGTAACCTGACCAATGGCGGAACTACCACAATAGCGACCGATGCGGTCGCTATGGGGCCCGCGGCACTGGGGGGGGCCCGGATCCCCGCTGCTCTTCCCCGATTGTATGGGCTGAGTCAGCGGGGATCCGAAAAAAAATGGACGGCGGAGGAGCCGCTGCCGTCCTGAAACTGACAGGGGGACAGCGGCTCCGCTCTCCTCCCATTGTACCTTACAAACTTTTGCTATGGGGCCCTGGGATTTCTAGTTATGCCCCTGAACATGACCTTAGTAAAAATGGCCACTGTGTTTGTTGTTATTTTAAAACATAAGGGTAAAGTTCCGCTGTAAGACATTTTGGGATCAGAGCAATCAAAAAACGTTTGGTGTTTGTTAAAATAAATTTTCATATTTGTAAAAGCGACTTTTTGTGACAAATAATAGTGATCGGTCCGTAAAATAAGACACACCTTTTCTGTGGCAAGGTAAATCCTCTTCAACCCAGCACTGCAAGGGTTAACTTCCCGGTTGTGTCTAGGTTAAACCAAAGAACGACTCACCCAAAGCTCCAAGCCGGCTTCTTCTTAGTCCGGTCCCAGGAACGTCTCTCCCCCTCCTCTGCGGAGATCTAAGGTCCAGTATATCACCATGTCTATACACTGTGAGGAAGATGACAACTGAGGAACATTCCAATGCTGCTGCAGAGGGAGCGCTGTGACCGATCGGGCCGGCTTGGAACTTGCGGTCACTACAGCTTTGTTATTTTAACACCTACCGATGTACAACAATCCAAAGTTATCTGGTATCACTCCGCCTGTCACAGTAACTGGCGCTTTAGAGGAAACAAACCACCAAACTAGGTCTTATTTTCGGGGTAGGTCTTATATTACAGGAATCTTGAAAAATAGTGCTAGGTCTTACTTTCGGGGTAGGTCCTATTTTTGGGGAAACAGGGTAGATAGAAACGTAGCGTTAACTGGCTGCCCCGTTTGTTTTTTTATAATAAGGTGTCAGGGTCGCTTTAAATGCTACAAAGCACTGCGGTCCAACCAAACTTGCTGCTGCATTAGTGAGTCACTCTGTAGTCCTTGCAGCCACAAATGACATGAGCATGACAACTCTGTTCAGATTTCAGACTGGTGGGATAGTGTTGTCACCCCATCGCAGGAAGTTTTAGAATATGCACTTGCCTGGCAGATAAACAGTTGTGCCTGCGCAGGTATGAGTACATCTACATCCCCCTGAATTCCATTGACAGATATCACTTTTTCAGATTTAGGGCTGCATGAGATATTAGAGTAGCATTGTGTGTACAGCTAGTAAGCGCATGGGGAAGGAGAAGCAGTATACACACAAGCAGGCAGGTTCAGGCCGTGGGTGATGATAGCAGTGGTAGTGCTGTACCTCCAGGCCACCACACACCCCTCACCCCCCGAGGCCTGCTCATCCCCGCACACAGGGCTCCCCTCATCTCTTACACGGTAATATGTCCGGCTCCCCTCACCACCACCGGGTCTGGCGCGTAGCGGAGTAAATGTTCCTCAGCCACCACTCGACCTGAGCCCGTTTCCCTGTCCTCGCCATCATCCTCTTCCTCCTCATCCAACTCGTATATGGTATCAAAGTCCGCCATGTTTGGTAGCAAGACGCTCATGACGTCACCGCAGGCCGGAGCCGGGATTGCGGCGACTCCACGTGACTCTGGGTGGGCGGGGCTTGTGGAGCTGTAAGCGGAGGGCGGGAAGTGTGGCGTTGGCTGTATATAAGCAGTGCTGCCCGGGGAGCAACGGCGTCTGGAGGAAAAGTGCAATACATAAAGTATATGTAAAGCAACTCTGCTTGTGACAAATCTGTGCCTTCTATCAATATTGCTGTATACCAAATTTATATTGTAGCTGTAGGACATCTCACTTACAGTCATTCATGGGAATCTGTATTGTATGATGCATCTCCTTAGTTCAGTTAATTATATAGCAGTGACAATTTATGCAGCATTTTACATAAGTCTCTGGCCTCAAAGAGATTACAATCTATGGTCCCTATCTCACATACACACAGGAGGGCCAATTTACACAGGAGCCAAATTACCTTCCGGCATGTCTTTGGAGTGTGGGAGGAAACCAGAGTACCTGGAGAAACCTACACAAGCACAGGGAGAACATGCAAACTCCTTGCAAAGTGATCTGGCCAGAGGCGTGTTCAGTTCCTTAGCCAAAAGTAGAATTTTGCTTCAAAATGTGGAAGAGACATGCTTACCTTTATTTACGGCAGAGGGGAGCAAACTACGGCCCTCCAGCTGTGGTGAAACTACAAATCCCATAATGCATCTGTGGCTGTGAGAATCTTGCAATACCTCAGAAGATTTGTAATTCCACAATAGCCAGATGGCTGCATTTTGCCCACCCCTAATTTAGGTGTACTCACACTAAACCGAACCGTGCTCGAGAACGGTTGTCCCCATCCGCCACTGGTCTGCGTTCACTTGGCTCTATAAGGAAGTGTTCCCGGGCACGCTTACATTATCTCCTCTACCAGCCAGACTACAGTGATCCCCCCAGCCAAAGTCATCAAGATTTCAGTACTTGGACACACCAATCAGCTTCTCTCTTCAGTTTGTTCAGTTAAGATTTGAAAATGAAAGAGAGAAGCCGATTGGTTGCCATGCACAGCTGCTCCAGATTTTGTCTGCTGCAGTTTTGATAAAACTCAGGAGATATCCTACCATTTCAGTGTGCAAGAACTCTGAAGGTGAAATGACGGGTGGAAAAGTAAACTTATGATTCAGGAACTTAGAGGGCATATTTATGAAGCAGTGAATGTGATGTTTGCCATACATTCATTGCAGGAGAAGCAATCGCATCAATTTAAAAATAGACTGGGAAGATTCACCTGCAATAAATGACACATTCACTGCTTTATACAAATGCTATTTAGGGACAAATTACATTTGTGCAGAGTGTTAATCCACCAGCGTACACATGCTGTGTGTTACAGTAGCCTATTCATTGAATAGGTTGCCTAACGCACCCAGTTGTACAAATAAGCATACACCAGTTTTTAGAAATGTAGTGCACAACAACACATGGCGGTCTGTTACTGTGCGTTGTAGTGTGCTGCAAAGCAGGTTCATTCAGAGTGAAACATGGTCACATGTTCTTCCATGGACAGGGACAGGAGGGAGAATCTGCAGGAGGCAGAGCATTGCACCATGGCTGCAATGCTTTACTGTCTCCAATGCACACAAATTATAAATGTAATTTTTTTTTCTTTTATAAATATGTGTGCATTCATTACTTTCTTTTTTTAAACGTGGACTTTACCTTTAAAGTGACATTAAACCCTCAGATTTTTTAACATAAAACAATACTGTAATGTGCGCCTTACTGTAATCCATGGTTGTTTCCCTTCTCTTTGCTGCTCTTCCTTTTAAATCTGTATCTGTTCTCATGCTCTGCAGAACTTCTGTTTTGCAGCAGACTGCCTTGTCTCAGGAATGGATACACGGTGTCTGTGTATTGGTTTGTATAGGCTTGTAACCTGAGCCAGCACTACAGGAAGAGGCCCTGAGCTGAAAAGGGAAGTTCTCCCCAAGCATGAGAAGACATGAGGATTTAAAAGGAAGAGCAGCAAAGAGAAGGGAAACAACCATGGATTACAGTAAGGCACACATTACAGTATTGTTTTATGTTAAAAAATCTGAGGGCTTAATGTCACTTTAAAGTGTATTTCCACTTTCGCAGCCAAATTGGGATTTGTTGCATGTTCCCATTCACATAGCTTAAGCTTAAATAAAAATAAAATAAAATGATTCTTGCAGTTTAAATTGCTTTTACTTGAGTTGGGGTTTTAAGGGTTACAATTTCTTCTTTCTTATAAATAAATATGAGGGGATTAAAGGAGTACTATGTGGTGAGTGAATTACACTCATCCCCATAGTTAGAGCCGCCATGTTACATTGAAACTGTCACACGTCAGCTCTATTGATCGGGAAGTGAGGAAACACATACCGCCAATCGTTCACTTCCTGATTATCTCCCTGCAGAGAGCGGTGACTGTCAGTCACGGCTCCCCGCAGTGATTCCCCCTCTCCGATCCTCCAGGACTGACTAAAAAAACAGATAAAAAAAAGCATCATTCTTTTTTAAATTGCAAAGCCTTGTACTGAATGACATGGTATGTTTACAGCTACCATAAATTATCACAGCCTAAATTAAATGACTTGTTTTGTGGAAATACCTCCAGTGAACCAAGGTTTCTTGACCTCTGTGAACTTATAGGTGTTCGGGGCACGCAGGGACAAAAATGGAACACAAATAAGGATGTTTAACAAAAGGTTGCCCCAGTTCCTTCTCCAGTTTTTTATACCATGTATTTACCTTTTGTAATATATATTTTATGTATAAACTATATTCAGTCTCCTGCCTTAGCTGAGCACTGATGAGAAAAACACTGCCTGTTGCCTCAAGGAAGCTTCTCTAACATTCCTCAGTCTCCCTCAGGTCCTAGACCTTGCCTAGACCGAGTACATGCAAAGAAATCCAAAGAATAGGGTCTACTCTGCTTACTTATAGACCAAAGTTTATTGATACAAACAAATGCACAGTGTAGTACTACCCTGTTTCCCCGAAAATAAGACCTACCCCGAATATAAGACCTAGTACTATTTTTGTGAATTTCTAAAATATAAGACCTACCCCGAAAATAAGACCTAGTTGTGACCATTTCCAGGGCCAGTGGTGGCATAAGGGGGAACTTGAAGAGCTGCGGGAGAGGAGGGAGAGAATCAGCGGTGCCAACGAAGCCAGCGCTAGAGGAAGCGAGGCGGCAGCGGAGGGAGCAGAGCCGCATAAGCCGATGCATCCTCTTTAGCGCTTGCTCCTGTCACAGGCGGAGTGATATCAAATGCACTCCGCCTGTGAGGAATCTATAGTGAAAGTGCGCTTCGCTCATTCTGGCCAGCGATTGGTTAGCAAATTGCTCTTGGAAAGGTACGGCACCCCTGATTGCCTTGATCACCATATTTTTGTACATGAATAAGTGTGGATTGTTGTACATTTAAAAAAAAAAATAAGACCTACCCCGAAAATAAGACCTAGTGTGTTTTTTTGAGCCCAGTGTCTTATTTTCGGGGAAACACGGTAGTACTTTGTGCATCTGTTTGTATCATTAAACTTTGGTTTAGCAGTGAACAGCTGGGGCCCTACTCTTTGGATTTCTTTGCTAATAACTGATACCCTGTCCTGTTGGAGGAGTGTAAAACCATAAGTTAACAAAGACTTTGTCTTCTATAATCCTTGAAGCACATTTGTTATTGAGTGGCTATTATTATTATTATAACAGAAGATTTATATAGCGCCAACAGTTTGCGCAGCGCTTTACTAAATGGGGGATACAATAAAATTACAATTTCACTATACAATTTCAGTACAATATGGTTGGGAGGGCTCTGCTTGTGAGCGCTTACAATCTAGTAGGAGGGGCAAGTGATACAAAAGGTAATAATAGTTTAGATTGAGTTAGTGGAAGAAGTAAAAGGGCAGTTATGTTGAGGGGGGATAGTGGGATAGGCTGCCCTGAAGAGATGTATTTTCAAGGATCACCTTAGGCTGGGTTCACACCTAGGCGTATCAAATATGCGCGTTTGTCACGCGTTTTTACAGGGATTCGTGAATAAATAAAACGTGCGACAAACGTAGGGCTACCTGGCTGTATCACAATGGATACGCGCGGTAAATATGCCCCAAAGAAGCTCCTGTACTTCTTTGGGCATAAGGCGTTTTGCAGCGCGTTCCTAAGCTCTGTAAAACGCCCAGGTGGGAAGCATGCCCATAGGCAATCATTGGTTTTCACATGTTGAGCGTTTTACAGAGCGTAGGAACGCGCTGTAAATCGCCCAGGTGTGAACCAGGCCTTAAGGTGGACAGAGTACGAGATAAGTGGACAGATTGGTCTAGGGAGTTCCAGAGAACTGGGATTGCCTCGTCACTAAAATAAGATCTAGTTCATGAAGAAAACGGCCTAGAGAAATCTCTCGAGATCTCGCAGTCACGTTCTTTTCTTTTTTTTTCCTTTTTCTTGTCACATTATATGAGCATGCGTGAGAGTAGCGGCACATCGTCAGAAGGGGGTCTGGTCGTGGAACCTAGTGAAGCTGCGCAGGCACTGGAATTACTCTCGAAAAAGGGATGCACCGAAATGGAAATTTGAAACTGAAAATAAAAAATTTGTCAGGCCGAAACCAAAACCGAAAATGACTCCCCCCAATCTTTTCAAGAAAAATATAAATTATTTTCTGAATTATTTTGCTTTTATTGTTATTTCTTTTTTTTTTTTACTTTACTGTTGGGAGCTCTAGGAAAATATTAGGAGTCTAAACAGACCCCAGATATTTCCCTTTTACAATAGAAAAAGAGATTGCGGATACAGAGTACACAATCTCTTTTTCTGCAGCCCCAGCACTGAATGGACAGGAAACTTCTATACTAAGTGTTCCTGTTCATTCATACATTATGGAGATAGTGTACTTACTATGTCCACAATCATGAATGAATGGGGAGTGACATTGATTAATTCATAACTGGGCATGGTAAGCACACTATCTCCAGCTATTTACAAACAGTCACCGTTCAGTTGATTGGTGATTGTTTGTATAACCCCTCTCCATCCTGAATTTGCTGTCACAA